ATCATGCAGATATTGTACCTTAAGTATCACCACAGCTGACAAACCAACAACATGTCACAGGTATCATCAATTTCTCCTTCTTCTTCCTTTACGCCCACCAGCGATGCCCCGCTCGGCGCCGCCCCCGCCGCCCATCTTCTATCCGCCGCCCCCGACCCGCGGCCGAACTCCCGCCTCGGATACCCTGCCCCGGATCCCGGGCGAATTCCCGCCGCCGGGCCGCCGGAGCTGCTCGCGCGCGTGCTCGCGCAGCTGGCGTACGACGACCTGCTCCTGCGCGCGCAGCGGGTGTGCAGGGCGTGGCGGGCGATGGTGGAGGGCGAGCCGGGGCTGCGGGTGAGGATGTTTAGGAGGGCGGGTGGGGTGTGGGTCGACGTCGGTGAGCAGCGTTTTTTTCCTGCAAAAGGTATGGCGTGCGATGATGGCGGGTGGGCGTAGGGCTGCCGAGTGTGGAGATGGTGAAGGGGAGCGAGGGGGTCGTGGTGCGTCCCTTCAAGTTTTCTCTTCTTGCCAGCATCGAGATGCTTATGACCGGGTTGGCAGCCGCACCCGCTGCTGCGCATCGTCTCGTACGCGATGGGCAACGGCGACACCGCGTATGTGCGCCGAAGGAACGCCGAGCCCGACGACGACCGTGACGGCGAGGAGCTGGCCGCGTACGCCGCGGCGGGCGACCTCGCGACGGTCCCGGCGGTGCACCGCGCGACGCTCCTCGCGGCGGTCGGCGACGGCGCGCAGCACGTGCCGATTGCGGTGGAGAATGAGGAGGGGGTGAGGGTGTGCGATGTTTTTGACGCGTTCAAGAAGGCGTAGGTTGCGGGGATCAAGGTGGGATGGGATGGGGCTGACGAGGTCGCAGGTCGAGTGAGGAGGTGGGGACGGCGAGTGGCGGGAGGCGGCTGTGGGAGGCGCCCGCGGACGGGGGGTGAGTACATGCTACTTCGTTAGGGCGGGTGTTAATGGTGGGTAGGTTCTACGAGGGCCTCGCGAGGCTGGAGAGGAGGGGCGGGCATCTGACGGCGTATGTTGAGTTTGGGTCATAGCCAGGCTGGGTGACTTCAATGTTTATATGGACGCGGCGCAAGGGGGACGTGCTGTGCGTCCGATGTGGTATTCTAAGTAATCTTTTGAGTTGCCGCGGCGAGCGGGATTGCGTGCTGTCAATGTAATCGATGACATCTTGATCAGCCGACCTTCTTTCCTTCCTTCCACCACGACCACACCCTCGCGCGATGTCTGTGCTGCGCCAGTTCGTCGCGACGGACCTCTTCCGCTTCAACAACGTGTGCGTCCCGCCGTTCCTCCCTTCCTCGCCGCCGCTGACATGTGCCAGGAACCTGGACTTCTTCACCCAGACGGTGCGCGCCGTCTACGATGTAGGCAACGGTTAACGAAAGACCAGTACTCGAACTCGTTCTACCTCGACTACCTCTCGCGCTGGCCGGAGCTGTGCTGCCTCGAGGCCGCGCCGGGCGGGCGCATGATGGGCTACAGTTGCGTCTTCCCCTCCCTCTCCCCTTTCACTCCCTCACTCACCCCGCCCAGTCTTCGGCAAAGCAGAAGGCCAACACGCCGAGTGGCACGGACACATCACGATCCTGACGGTCGCGCCCGAGTTCCGGCTGCTCGGGCGCGCGCGCGCGCTCGTCGGGCGCCTCGAGCGCGTGTGCGACGCGCCCCTCCGCGCGCTCTTCGTCGACTTGTACGTAAGGTGCACGAACGACGCCGCGGTCGGGATGTACGAGGGCATGGGGTACAGCGTGTACAGACGGGTGAGGGAGTATTACCATAGCTTGGTCGAGGGCGGCGGGGAGGGAAGGGGCAGGGACGAGGTGGATGCGTTTGGTGAGTGTGTTCTGTTTGGGTTTTGGGTGGGGGATGATAAAGGACAGATATGCGCAAGCCGCTGTCGAGGGACCATGGACGCCGGAGTGTGAGGCCGAATGGAAGGGAGATGCTGGTTAGTCGGTATGAGGTGTCGTGAGTGGGTCGGGAGGCGTTTCGTGTATGTCTTGCCTTTGTTTCTCTTTTTTGTACCATCGCATTCAAGTTGCGAGTTCGCTGCCATAGGCCGATATCAGACGTGATAAGGCCACTTCCACCATTGGCCACAATGACTTAACCAGATCTTGTTCCGTGATCTACAGCGGAGCACGTCCTCGCCAGTGGAACAGAATCTCTGGCGGAACGAAAATTGAAATCGTGGTGTGACCTCCACCTGACTCTCGACTGGACTCGGGGAAGGTGATCCCTACAGCAAGAGACTTCCGTTCAAGGTGCTCGACTTGAAGATGCGGGAGTCAATCAAGGCAGTGCAAGGATGCATAACGAGACATTGAGGAACCGAACAAGCCTGCGGCCATCCAGAATGCAATACCGCACAGTGGTGCCCAACCAATGGTTGTTTTTATCCCCGTCCCGAGAATCATGCAACGCCACAGTATGAATCATTCATTCGAGATGATGTGATATCTTTAGGTTGGATTATTTCTGGCCGGCGAGATATATAGCCCCAAGTGCCGGGCCCCGCTCACCAGTCAAGATGCTATTCAAAATCCCGCCATTCTGGAACAATGCCCGTGTTAGAGTGTACACTCTGCGCAGCCTCCTGTTCACCTTGATAGTGAACATCCTGTTAATAATTGTCCAATATAGGAACATCCGATTTTATATGGACAATTCTATTGGGCCCAGGGCACAGACTACCCTTACCGTTGGTCTAGGAACATATCTGCTGACATTTTTTCATCATATTCTCAGGTTTGTTTTACCATCCATACAGCTTATACACCCTTGCCTCAACTAATGAATGCTCTCTTAGACTCACAATCTTTGGTCAAAGATGGTGGCAGGCCACCAAAGTTAACCTTTTCCTTTGGCTAGTTGAGCTTACTGGTATGTGATGTTATCTGAATTATAGAATTCTAAAATAGAAATAGGAGTTGCATTAACCTATCATGGGATGAATTCAATTATACTGCCTCAACACGATGATAATTTGGTCCAATGGCGGCTTGGTTCAATAAGCCTGAACACACAGCTGTTATTAACAATATTTACTGCAGCAACACTTGGCCTCCTCATTCTGCTTTGTATTTTCTGGGCTATCACTCTGTGGAAAGGAAACAACTCCAGTTTTCTGGGCAATTGTCTACCTGTCAATCCACCATACAACCTGGGCACCATATTGATCAATAGATCATTATCAAGACCCCTTATTCGGTATGAGACATTGAATCATTGTGATAATATACTAACTGGTTGAACAGGGGGGAATCTATCATTATCATTGTCCTACGGTCACTTATAATCAGTTGCTGTGTAATTTTTGTGCCTGGATTTGCCATATACTTGATTCTTGTCAAGCCCCATGAATCAAAGGTCCATCTCAGCATACCACTGTTCATGCCAGATCGTTTGGGCAATGTTATGCACAATAATGTCACATTTGTAGGTTATTATTGAGATATTATTGTCTTTTCCTAAAAATTATATATCACAGGATCTAGAAGTCTTCAATGACTCAGGAAATCAAATAGTTGAACCCAAAGTTGAAATAAATGCAGACATAATGGATACAAATACAACCACGTCATGTTCTGTTAATTATTTGCAAGCCATCTGTGAGTCTCAACTATGGATTTGTATATATTTTTCATTATCCTAGGTCCCTTTTGGTGGTCAATGGTTAACCGTTTAACAATAACTGTCTTTGGTCTACCAGATGGTAGTGGTTTTTATATCATCTTTCCCCCACCAACCCCATCACCATTCAAGATACCAAACTATATGCAGCCTCCTTCTACCCCTGTCATGTCAAATGAACATCTGTCATGTAATCTAGGTTGGAATATACAACGACTGTACAATGATCCCTTGGTGAGAATAATTTCAGCTTGTGGGTCTAACTAATAATAATTTTCCCAGAACTACCTTTATATTGTCAAAATCATCCAAATTAGGCAAGATACCACATCTCCCCAACCATTCAACACCAGCTCAATGACAATCATGAATGTTGGTTCGATGCTATCAGACAATGTTCAATACTTTGAGCAAATTGCTGATGCTTCAATGCTATTAGGCATCTCCAGTGTTGGTGGCTTTTGGACATTCTTCAATGGTGCCTTCACATTGCTTTTTGGGGCAAATATATTCTACTTTGCATTAGGTGAATCAGAACTCTGCTATAATGTATCATAATTATTAACATCTTCAGGCCAGCGACCATTGTCTGCCTTGGGAGTTGTACATCTATTTCAACACGGGTCTCTTATGCAAAAGTGGCATGAAGATTTTCCTCAATTAGATACAGAGGGTGGCCATCCAGGAGACAATTCTGCTGGAATTGTGGCCTTCATTCGCAACAGACTTGTTGACATTAATTCTTCTTCTTCTGACCATGTGGAAAAAGAGACATCCCAAGTCATTCTCAACAAGGAAGGTTCAATTGTGGAAGAGAACAGTCCATTGGTACCCTGAAACAGTTGATGGAAGTGTAGTTTCTATAGTAACAATCTGGCTTAATACAGGATATGCTTGTTTTTCTTTGTTGATTCTTTCTGCCTACTTGATTTGTCACAAAATAAACAAATAATTTATGTATATGATGATGGTTCATAAGCCAAACAGGGTTGCCATTCTAGTGCAAAGTTATTTGAGTTTTGAGGTGCTTGAACATTCGGCCAGGCCCGGCCCCAGGGACCTGATAGCATCCTAATACCAACTTGAAGTATTTACAGTCATGATGAATCATGTTTTGAAAATGTGTGAATGTGTAGAGTTTCCTTGACTTTGTAAAAAAAAGGACTTTAGCAGTTTGAAATTCAGTTAAGCAATTATCATTCATTTTGGTTCAATTATTGTGTGACTTGTGCAGCAACCAGCGCGGTTGATTTTCATTTCTTTCCAAAAAAGACTGACGGTCACGCCTGTCACATCGGTTAAAGATGCGCCACGCATCACGTGGGCGGCTGATCGCGTCTTGTCTTCTTGCCGCGATGACTACGTCTACGTCTGTGTTCGGGGCTCCGCTGCTCCGCCCGCTGGTGCTGCTGGCGGTGGGCGCGGCGTCGGTGTATGTCGTATCGGAGGGGTGGGCGCGGAGGGTGAGTGTCGTGACTTGTGGTGGGGATGGTGAAGGCTGACGCGTTTTTTGTGGTAGAAAAGATGGCTGGTGCGTTATTTGCTGTCCTCAACTGCTCTGAAAAGCTAACTGTATGGACACATGTTTTCAGCGCGCGTTTTCGTCTGGCCTTCGACGCCTAGCAGCGCCGGACACGGTGCATGGCACGGACCTGCGCGTCGCGCGAATCATGAGTCAGTCGCATGTCTCGGGCTCCTCCCCGCCCGATGATGACTGCTGACGAACGCCCACAGTCTACCCCATCAAGGCAAGCGAGTCCCGCTCCAGGCAGCCCCCGTAGCTCAGCTTTCTAGAGCTGCGCGGGGATCGAGCTGGAGAGCAGCACGTACGACCGGGAAGGCTTCGAGTTCGACCGGCAGTGGATGGTCGTTGATGTCGAGAAGAATAAGCAGCTGTCTGCAAGGGATAACCGGGGCATCAAGGTGCACTACCAGTTTAAATGTCTTCATTTTGCTTACTTGCCCTGCCCAAGCTCGTACGCGTCTTCCCCTCTATCCATCGCGACCCGTCTTCTCCCGATGGCGGCGTGCTGACGGTATCCTTCCCGGACTCGCCCGACACGCCGTCCTTCTCCGTCCCGCTGCGCCCAACGCCCGAGACGCTCTCCTCTTGGGAAATCCACGCCGGGTTCGACCTCTGGGGACATGCCGGCGCGGGCTACGTCGCCCAGAGCAGCGACAACGATGCGCTATCAACCCCGTCCGAAATCCTGTCGGCGTATATCGGCCGCCCGGTGCTCTTCGTGACGACGCACGGCTCGCTCGCGCGCCGGCCGACGGAGCAGATCGGGTGGGCGCCGGACGACCTCGGGTACGCCGGCGGGTCGACCGTGCGCTACCCGGACGCGACGCCGTTCCTGCTCGTGTCGACGGCCTCGCTCGTGGACGCGGAGGCGCACGTGCATGCGCTCGCAAGGGGCGAGTATGAGCAGAAGGTGGCCGGGTGCAAGCCGGACGAGCCGCGGCCACGTGTTGATGCGTGGGCGGCGCGTGATGCGAAGAGGCTGTTGATAGAGCGGTTCCGCCCGAATGTGGTGGTTGAGGGCGTGGAGGAGGCGTATGGCGAGGATGATTGGCAGGAGATTAGAGCGCCGGATGGCCGGAGTTTCCTCTTGCCAATGCGCTGTCCGCGATGCATGGTAAGTAATCCCTCAGGTGACTTTTACGATGTTGACTTAGGAGGCGTTTTAGTTCCCGAATGTGGACACCGACTCCGGCGAACGCGACCCGCAGATGCCGAACAACGCGATGATGCAGTATCGCCGCGTCGAGGCAGCGGTCCCGGCGAAGTACTGCTTCGGGTATGCTTCCGAATTCGCGGCCAGGGTTTGGGTGTGCTGACGAGTCCACAGGATGTACATGATCCCCGTGCAAGACAGCGGCGTGCTGAGCGTCGGGGACCCGCTTGTGGTGACGCGCAGCGCGATCAATCCCAGACTCGCGATGTGACGTGGGTTCGATGCACTGCTGCGAATGTGGCGGTCGAACTTGTGGGGTAGGATGTGAATAGTTGGACGTTTTTTGGGCGGCTCAAACTTTCACAAAGTGTGGCAATGTGTGCAGGATGTACATGATTCAGTTGCGGTGAAAGACAGCAGTGTGTTGAGCGTAGGAGACGCGCTTGTCGTGACGCGCAGCGCGGTCAATCCCAGACTCGCGATCTGACGTGGGTTCGATTCACTGCTGCGAATGTGGTAGTCGAAGTGGGGTGAACACCTTGTCAATATTTGGTTAATTTTTGCGTTGACGAAGGGCTCGAACTTTCACCAAGTGTGCGAAAGGCATCGACGTGCTCACTGCTGACCGTCGGTCATGACGTGCACCGCAGTCAATTCAATCCGGACTCCCGATATGACGTGGGTCCGGTTCACTGCGGCGAATGTGGTGGTCGAAGTGCCAGAAGAGGACGTCCACACATTTTTGTCAATTTTTTGTGTCACTGAAGTGTGTGCAAGTGTGAAAATGTGTGCATGATTGCGGTGCAAGGCAGCGGCGTGCTGACGGGAACGCACTCGTCGTGACGGGCAGCGTGGTCAATCTGAGATTTGCGGTGTGACGTGGGTTCGATTCACTGCGGCGAATGTGGTGATCAAAGTGCGCGTGAGCGTTATCGATTGGCATATAAGTAGATGGAGACCAGCTTTTTTGGGTCGAACAGTTTCGCACGGTGTGGAGAACTTTCAACTGGTTGACCCCGCTTGGACCGTCGTACTTGATGATTAGGCTAGATAGCGCACCGCATTCTCAAAAGTGTTGGGCTCGAACATATATAGTACTAAATTCATAACCAGTAAAGTGATTGGACGGGAGGGCACCCGGAGTCCGGACTGCCGGGGAGGCCCGAGACGATGCACATCCGGGCCCGCGAGCCGCTCGTCACGATCCGCCGGAGGGCCGCCGGCACCGGGAGTGGGGGACGGCCAACCGGGGCGGGTGCCGGGTTCGCGATATCACGCGGCCCGGCCGGGTTACACTTACTTACCGCCATCTTTTCTTCCGGACTTACAGTACCACAGCACCTAAAGCGTCGGGCGCCGCCGGCGGGTGGATTCGTCGTAGGCTGTGTCAGTAAGTTTCGGAATTCGCCTTCTACGCGCCGCTAGCGGTTTAGCAAAATGGTGATTGACTTTTCTTTGGCCTATACGTGACATGCACGTGGCGAGCGGTACTTTAGGCGACGTGACGCGCGTGACCGCTTCTCTCTTCGACGCGTTCCGGCGAAAAATCTACTGCACGCACCCGGATGGCGAAGAAAGCGAAAACGACGACCCAAGCTGACTCTGTGGCCCTGCCGACCATGGCGTTCCCGGTGGACTTCCCGCCGGAGCTGCTGGCGCGCATCATGCACCACATCCCGTACTTCACGCTGCTGCTCGTCGTCCCGCGCGTGTGCAGGGCGTGGAAAAGCATGGTGGACACGGACCCGGTCTTGCAGATGCGCATCTTCCGCCGGCCGAGCGCGGTGTACATGGACGTCGGTGAGTGGGAATCGCGCGCCGGAGAAGATGACTTTTGAATTTGACGGCTGTTTAGGCGTCAAGCAGTCAAGCCTCGAGAAGGACAGCGAGCCGCTCGTATTCCACCCGCTCGTCGACAAGGTGTCGTACCCGATCGGCGCTCCCGCCGCGGAGGTGTACTTCCCGCACCCCGCAGAGATCGGCGGTATCGACCTCGACGCCGACATCGTCACGCTCGACGACGGCGACGACGACGACGAAGAGTGGGCCGACGTCGAGCGGCGCCCGTTCATGTTCGCCGCCGACCCCGACGACCGTGACCCCGTGCCCCTCGCCGACTGCGCCGTCGCGCACGACCTCGCAACCATCCCAGCCGTCCACAGCATCGAGCTGATTACGATGGACCGCGACGACGAGGAGTACCCGGTGCGCATCGAGAACCCGGCGGGCATCACCATCCTCGACATATTCGTCCGTCTCCAGCAGGCCTGCAAGGAAGAGGTCCAGACCCCGGACGGCCGGGTCCCGCTCGAGGAGGCGCTGTGCGACATGTGCGTATTCTTTTCAACCATCGCAGAGCAGGTTGGGCTGACGCAGCGCCCCCCTAGATTCTACGAGGGCCTCGTCAACTCGCACCGCAAGGGCCGCCATGTCAAGACTTACATGAACTTCGGCACATAGTAGGTGCCAACAAGCATAGAACGAAGTAGAAGATATAGAAGAAGAAATACAAAAGGCGCACCTGGTGTTCCCTGTGCTGCATTTGCAGCTGTACATACGCTTGCTTAATCCACAGCTATATTCCAACAGCTTCATGACAGGATGTTCTGATTGATAATTGAACACTAGAAAAAACTTGCATACATTAAAGATAGAATTTAGCAGATATATATTATACAAGGGCCGGCGCCTGGGCCTGAGACCTTGCTTTGTGTATTTTTTCTGGCTTGTAAGCTGTCAATGTTACAGATCAGTTAGTGTTCCAACCAGGCAATGATATGTCATATTGTCCTAACAGATATATCTTTTGGAAGGAATCTATTTGGGTGAGGCTTGAAACCTGTAATGTAAAAATACTAAGTACTTAATATGTAGGCAGGCTTGCTCATGAATACATGTAGGTGATGATGATAGAGAATATAATTTTGGGGCCTGCCTTTCCCACCACACCACTCTCCAGCACTCAGGCTTAGATCTGCTCTGTTGGTCATTTGCTCGCCACCAACCTCCTGTGCTCACCCAAAAGGTCAAAGAGAGATCTATGCCTACCTGTATGAGTATTGATGGTAATCGAATACACCCGATGAGCAATGACAAGCATACTAGTCATCAGGAACAGACAACTTTGCAATCACACGCTAGGTAGACTTGATAGCCGTGGTAGCCCGGTAGACAAGTCCCGTCATCTCGGGCGCTTGGTAGCAACCTGCCAATAGATAGTAGCAGTTGGTAGCAGCTTGGTGACATGCTAGTAGCAAACAGTAGTGAACAATAGAAAGGGCATTATTGTCCACATTCTACTCAAATAGACTGGAGAAGGATGCGAAACAAGTCAATTGAGTTACTGTTACTGGATACATGGGTGCTAAAGTTTACGGTACATGTTGGGATGAAGATAAAAGGAGTGGAATGAGGAATAGGCAATGGAGAAGGGGAAGCGAGATCAAGAGGGCAGGGATTGTTCGATGACTTACCTTGCTTCCCCTTCTACCCGGAATCAATCGCTCGTTGGTGAGGAACGGCTGGTCGTAGATGGCCGATACCTTGAGGCCACAGAGGAGTAGCTGTCCCACACGGCTACACAGAGTTTGGCGTTCCACGACCGACAACAGACCTAGCCAGCGAGGTCCCAGCCCCAGGGAGCTCTCGCCGTCGTGACAGCCAATGGCTACACCGTTCGCGCTGAAAACTTGTCAGTCGGTGGCAGCATGATAAACGAGCATCCGTACCAATTTTCGTGCGATTTGGACGGATACAGGGAGGGCTACGAGCCATGCATTGGCACGACAAACAGGTGAGTCAAGCTAGGATTCAGTAAGGTGTTAGAGACAGGGAATATATTGACATACCACATCTCGGGGAGAGGGCGGTGGGCCTTGTTGTGGGACGCAAGGAACAGGTGGTGGAAGAGGAAGGGAAAGGAAGGAAGAATGTGTCGAGTGGCGCCATTTGATTTAATGCTCGGATCTTTTCCGCAGCCATCAATCATGTCACGGTTGTCATGCCTGCCTGTGATCGTGGACTTAGCAGAATTTTACAGAGTTAGGGAAGGCCTTGGTGAGCTGAATATAAGTTCTTAGCTATTTGAAGTGTTCAAGTACTTACCACAAGTTTGTACTGATTGACAATGAGAGATTTATTGAGGTATTTGCCTATCATGTTTTTGCACATCCCTACTCCGATCTATCAAGTGATTGGCGGTCGCTATCCATAACTACCAGCTACCCACAGAGATCTACAGAAGGTTACCGTGCGCTACTAGAGCAACCGGTGCTACCAGCTCTACTGGGCTTTGACAGGTGGTGGGGTAGCAAAAACACCTTTCCTGATGGTAGCATTCTTTGTTCAGTGATTGTTAAGGGCTGCTGGCATACACACCAAGATACACACTGGGGATTTGTGCAAAAACGGGGACTTAAAGCAGGACTTTTTGATAGGAAAACCGGTGCCAAATGTGGTCAGCTGATTGGGTTTAACATCAATGCTGCGGATTTCGACCCACATGAGGGAAATTACAAATAAGGTAATTTTCAAGTCATGTGTGTCGAAAAAAATAAGGTAATTTCTGAGTCACGTGCATCGAAATCAAGGCCTATGATTTATGTAAGAATCGGTCCCAGCTATTTGGACCTATATCTGTCACGAAAAAGTCCAGCTTTGGGCTGCTGTTTTAAATTTTCACCAAAACCCAATGTGATAACCCAGGCTATCTTATGATTGCCAGTAGCTCCTTCTCATGAACGGGGTAGTTAAATAGTTTAGTCCTGCCCCCTTGAACGTCATCAAGTCAAATGCGACTGGGCGAGCCAATTCCCATGTTGTGCCATACAACAATATTCTACCCGAACATGTGTCACTAGCATCTGTAGTCACAAAGATCTTGTTAGCACCTATATTCTCATGGTCAATGGACACCAAGCAGTCCGCACCTAAAACCAACTTCTTTATAGTGTCAAAGGCCAGCTGGTGGTGGCCCTCCCATCCTGGCCATTCCTTATTGGCAGTTTTGGTGGTTAATGGCAAGAGGATTTCTGTGTGCCTTGCAAGGTCTGGCAGGAACTGCGCAACAAACCTAACCAATCCTAGGCAATGGCACGGGTAGGCCATACCCGCGCGGGTATGCGGGTTTTACCCGTGCGGGTACGGGTACGGCTCAGAGCCAGCCCTACCTGTGGCTTGATGATTCAGCTGGTTTGCCCGTTTCATGATAAATCTCAGTGTTCAAGAGGTCCTGGGTTTGTCCCTGGCATGATGCTGCCTTTTTATCAGGCATTATCCGCCTTGTTGCTGACTCTTCCCTCAGTGTATGTATGGCCACCCGCGGGTCAACCCATACCCACGGGTAGGTGGCTGTGCGGGTATGGGTACAAGTATGCCCTCGGATCCCCATGGGTATACCCGTGCCATTCCCTAACCAATCCAAGGAAGGCACGGACATGAGTGGCGCTTTTTTGGGACCGGCCAGCTTGTAATCTTGTCTATTTTGGCAAAATACCTGTCTGCCTCAATCGCGCACTGCAAGATGTGGTGACCTAGAAAGTCTATCTCATAGGCATACACCACCAAAGTGTCAACAGCTGTCAGCCAGCTGGACATTCCAGCTGGTTTCCACATAAGTCAACATCTGGGTCCAGGTAGTTTCCAGCTGAATTCCAGCAGTTCTGCTCAGCTGGAAATTCCAGCTGGAATCCAGATGACATATTTGTCTGTATCCCAGCACTTTATAATCTGTAGAACATTGACAAATTTTAATTTAGAGTTTGAAACTATGTCTGAATTTCTTATTACAAAATGAATTAACTACAACCACAGTATCTATAGGGGATACCAAATCAGACAATGTAAGTGCAGATGAAACATGTAACTTTAGGGCCAGTGGCATTGAGCACTTGGGGGACTTGACTTGGACTTGACGGTTGCCATCAGCGATTGAGCGCCCGATGCCACATCGTGACATGCTGTGCAGGAATTTGATCCGGATATTAAAATTTTCGTCACACCAAAGTATGAATCATTCTTCCTTTTCCCCCCTCCCCTCACCCCAGAGGACAAGCGCTCCATACCAAGCTCAGCCGCCCTGGCCGCCACATTACCAATGGGACTTCCGCCCCCACCATCCTCATCCACGAGGCATCTCAGCTGTAAGCTGCAAAACTTTCGTGAGTATATTGCCAACTCACGCTACTAGAGGTGGATCCGGGGCCAAATAACAGCACCACTCAGCGCCGCGAGCGCGAACGCGCTACACCAAAGGAGTGGACACGAGTAGACACCCGTACGTCAGTCTGCTTATCTGTGTGATGCTCTGCTAAGTTACTCGTCAGTGCCGCATGTCCCAGGGGCCCGAAAGAAGAACCTGTGGCCATCCTGGAGGATAGCTCGTCGGAAAGCAGCGATGCCGATTCGGAGGAGGGTGATGGGGAGGTGCAGAAGCAGACGAGGCCAGCCATGAGTGCACGGGATAAGGTGCGGGCTCCGCCGCCGAACACGAACGCGCTGCACTGGAGTGGATATCCGTACGTCACTATGCTCGTTGTATGATGCTGTGCTGACTTACTCGTCAGTGCCGCATGTCTGGGGGCCTTAATTCGAAGACAACCGATAGGCGATGGGGCTGCCGGCTATTGGGGGTCGCGCTCGTCTTCGGCCGGGCGGCGTCTCCGGCCGGGCGGATTGCTGCACGCGTCTACCCCAGGAGCGAATACGTAGTCCACTTTGTACATGTTCGTAGTACCATGCAATAATATCTAATGTTTTGTTCTTTTGTGTCTGGTTGAACAATCGGTAGTATAGGCCCTACCAAATATACTAGAGGGTGGTGACCTGGAGATCCAGCTGGTTTCCAGACACTCTGGAACCATCATGGTCCCATTTGCGACCAAAGAGGGAAACCATGTGGTGCAGATCTGGGAACCAGCCGGAGATCACATGTGTCCACCGGGGATTTTCCGGCTGTGACACATGTGGAAACCCGTTGGCAGTGTACAGTTGTGTTTTCTTTTCATTGCAGTAGAGCTGAGCTTTTTCCAAGCCTGAGAATATTTGACGGATGTATTCTGCGTACTCGACCTTGTTTTGCGACCCGATGATCACATCGTTGATGTAGACATGGCAGAAGTGCCCAATGTAATCCCGCAAGGCTGCTGTAACCCTACATTGTTGTACCGAAGGAGTGTTTCGCCACCCTTGTGGCATCATCAGCCACTTGTAAAGCCCCAGAGGTGTATTTACTGCTGTGAACTTTATGGAGTTGGGATGCATACACGTCTGGAAGAAAGAATCTGTAAAATCAATCTTAGACCAGATTTTCCCTTTCGCACAGTCTGCTAAGATGTCGTCCACTTGCGGAAGCGGGAAGACATCGTGGACTGTATTCGCATTAATAGCCCTGTAGTCATTAACCCATCAAGGCAGCACCTCCTTGTCAGCCTTTGGAATCAGCATTGCGGGTGAAGCGTATG